ATCTGCTGTTGTTTTAGGGACTTAAAGAGCACCTCCTTCACCTCCATATTCCACGTCTCTGTTTCCGCGATCCGACCCTCTGCCTCGGCGATTTGAGATCTTTGTGCTTGTAAAGTTGTAGTGTTAGCAGAGAGTTGTTGGTACATTTCTCGCTTAAGCTCGCTGATTTCCCGTCCTCCGTGACTTGCTTCTTAAGCGTGGTTAAGTCCTTTTTCATTTAGGTTTTGAGGTCGCGTATCTCTTTGCTAATTGCCTCGATCTCCAACCGCATTGTCGAGGTTAGCGAGTTAGCTTCAGCAGGTTGCACCTGTTCTTCGTCGTGGTTCTGCTCCATTGTTTTAGAATTGTGTCCTTTCTGTTGGTCTCGTCTTTCCTTACCTCTAGTAACAACTCCCCCACTCATCAGACTTTACTGTAACATGTGTTTTTATGAATTATGGAGAGTTAGTTTTAAGCTAGCTATCGGAGTGAAGTTTTACGCAGCCATCACCTTCGCCGACCGGAAGTCCCCCTTCTCAATACAGCTAATTCAATCGCAAAAAAACTGAACATGTGTAACGGTACATGTAGATGTGAACGGTACATGTAGATGTGATTATAGCGCTGTAATAACTAAAAAGACAGAGACCTAATCAGGAGACAAACATGTTCCACTTCCAATCTGTTCTTATTCATCCAGCTCTGACAGAAAAAATTAAAACACACTGTGAAGCACAGATGATGAGAGCTGCAATTCCCCACTCTCCTCCGCTCAGACCTCAACATATTTGACAAAAGCGAACTAGGCCACACTCTTTAGCTACTGTATGCTTCCATTCTGATGACAATTATAAAAAGAAGATGAAGCAGTTTGTTTATTGGAGTCAATCGATATCAGAGAATCAGACAGAGGCGAGACGGTGTGCTCATATTTCAGGACATTTTAAAAGAGGATGATTTGCTTGAATACACATGTAAATCCAATGACTATTCTGTGAGATTCAGACACACACTGACCTGAGGGTTGCAGCACTTGACGTGGACGGCTTGGAGATCAACATGGAGACACACTATAAAGGAGTGTCTGCCTTCAGAACAGCTCTGAAGCTTATGGGATGTGACAGCCAGCGTGGAGGTACAGCCCATTGGCTCCAACAGGCTCAGGCTCTGCTGCTGGCCCAGCAAAGTGTACACACTGAACTGACTCAGGCTAACCGTCCAAGGGAAGGCATCACCTGGTGGAAGACATGAGTGACAGAAAAAGAAGGATGCATTAAGAATGTGGTAAAATAATGAAGCAGTAGGAGATATAGGATGGAAATTGCACAACGCAGACATTGACAGAGATTGAGAGGAGCAGGGATGATGAGAGAGATGTGAAGGGAGAGCAAAGAGGACAAACTTAGCAAATGTGAAATTGAGAGGAAGATGAACAGAATGCAGGCTAAAATCGAACAAAAAGTGTTGCAATGGATTTTCCTTCCAGAAGGATCAGTCAGCATTGTTCATGATCAAAACAAGTCCTCTCACTTACCTTTGAAATTAAAACCAAATACTGCACAGTGGCTGAGAAAGCTTCATGAAATACATTAAAGATTCACTAAGGAGTAGTCTCAAAGGGGCAAGATCCCACTGAAACAGCTGTAAAAGATGTGGGTCTGACACTGGAGGCCACACTAGGTTTGTAATATTGCCAACCCTGGTAGAATAACGGAGAAGGAGAACTTGTTTGGTAGCACAGAGCCAGGAAGAGCACATTTCCAATGCAGTGTGGGCAGGACGCTTGGATCCAGAGCGTTGAAAAATACATTTTCAAAGGGTAGGAATGAATGACTAAAAGCAAGGATTGTTAATGTTATGGCTGCTAGTGTCACTAATTGTGCTGCCTTTTTACTCCTGTTTCTAAAACCCATATGCCAAATGCTGCAGTCATTGAAGCTTTGAGAGAAAAAAAGACACTTCTTGTATGGAGAAAACACTACTCACCATGTTGCTTATGTCAACTCTGCCAGGTGTGCAGACCACATGTGCAGGACCTATCTCTCAGTTTGTTTGTCTTTTGTCATTGTTAATGAGTAGTGGGTGAAAGGTTAGCTGGGGCTTGTTGAAAAGTCCTTAATGATGATGAATTTGCATTATGTAGAATATTAGCATTATGAACACATTTGTTTTATTTAGTAAATAATTCAAATCTATTTTCAAGACTCCCCATTATTGTTTATTGAAGTTTAACATGTTGTGTTCTCGTTTAAAACTTTGAAATCATTGTTTTTTGGCATTTGGAGTCCTCACTGTGCAACTAGGTGATTGTTCTTCTCCCAATATTTCATTAATCCTAATTAAAGTTGAGATTTCATTAGATACAGTATGCAGACCTACCTTCCTCCAAGATGGGCTTGGCGACCACAAAGGGGAGCTCCTGCAGTGGCTCCATGCACTTGTGCCCGGCACTGAGCACACTGATCTGTGGCAAGCAGACCACCAGGGTCCCGGGCATGGAGGCCTGGTTATGGTACCAACTGCGGACGGTGCCAGGAATGTCCCCGCAGATGATGGTGCTCGGGGAGGGCAGGCTGTCATTAGGCAGGAACACACAGCACGACTGCAGCTCCAACTGGAGAGGGGAGAGAAATATAAGGAAGTCATGTTGACTTGATTTAGTCACATGACTGATCTCAGCCCCCCTAAAACAGCCCTTAACAGATACTTTTTTAACATGTCTCTTAATATTAACTCTCCCCTTCTGTCCTTGCCTCAGTTCATGTTTCTCCGTGCGCACAGTACAGTGTTTGGCCTTGGGGAAGGGCGCCCTATTGAGGATCAGCTAGCACCTGTTTGTGAGGCTCTCTTCATCAGCTGTGTTCAGAGATGACCACACTCGGACATTTTGAATATGCATAAAGCAGGGTTGTGAACATTCTCTCCTTCAGATGATGAAAGGACTCAACATGTCACGAGTCAGAGACTGAGTCTCATCCTGACGGATTATGTCTTGGTAATGGAGACTTTGGTTAGCGGCTCTCTGTGAGTAAAAGCAGCAGTAGGGGACAGAACCTCAGACTGGGTTTGGGAGAGGCTGTCTCATTGCGGTGTCTTTTTATGCTGCTGCAACGCAACACTTCCCCAAATTGGGATCAATAAAGTACTTCTTATCTTATGTGTGCATGTCAGTCAGAGAGCTGCTCTGTTTAATGAGCTGCTACACTGTCATTTGTTCAGTGTACAGTACACACACAGATGCACAGAGGCACACCCTCCACTGATGTTTGCATAGAAGTATGCCGCCTTTTACTAATATCACACGCATAAATGTTGGAACGCCTATATATGGAGGCTGGTTCTTCCAGCTTTGATGGGAGGGCGAGAATGTCAGGAAAAAAAAAAGCATGAGATGTGAATGAGAAACAGAGAAAAGGAGAATAAGAGAGAAGGAGTGAGAGATATGGTTACACACTCATCTCACGCTGCTTCCTCTTTTGATTACTCTTCAAAGAGGGGTTTGAAATCTGAACACTTTTGCAAACTGACACATCAGGCCTAGGCCTTTTTAAGAGCTGGCACGCAGGAAGAAAATCCATTGACACTGCCTGGCCTGCTGCTGATCTTAGCGGGGTTAAGCTTTAAAGCAGGCCGACACACGGAACCTGCTGGCTGGAACACGGTGACTCCGCTCTGATAATGCTCCCCTGCTGGACAGCTTGCTTCAGTCACACTATGGCAAAAAGACTTCTTCTGCTCCGGCCATGCCTCCACCATCAAAATTATATTAGATTTTGATAAAAACCTGGGTGTGGCGATGTCAGTTAATTATGTATTTAGTGTAAGGCCTTTCTACTTATACTATAAAACATTTTTTCCCCAAGTATGTCAAAAAAGTTTAAGAAAAAAAATGCTTATTAGAAGTATGAAGAGCCTAGTGAGATGATATAAAATGTCTCTTATGTCTCGACGAGTACCAAAAAACGAAGTGATTAAAAACTTAAAAAGTGGTTTAAGTGGGTTAAACTGAAGCCAGTAAATGCTTTAATTATTTAATAACTTACTTACATAATGCAATATCAGTTTTATAGTATAATTTAAAGTTTTAATAATTGACTAATCAACAGTTGTATACGTCTGTGTCTAGTATATGTATGTGGCAAAGCGAAATCATACTTTAATAGATAATTATAAAAACTAATTTAAACCAAAATATATACAGGACTGTCTCAGAAAATTAGAATATTGTGATAAAGTTCTTTATTTTCTGTAATGCAATTAAAAAAACAAAAATGTCATACATTCTGGATTCATTACAAATCAACTGAAATATTGCAAGCCTTTTATTATTTTAATATTGCTGATTATGGCATACAGCTTNTTTTAATTGCATTACAGAAAATAAAGAACTTTATCACAATATTCTAATTTTCTGAGACAGTCCTGTATATACAAAAAAACTTAACCTACATACATACTTTCTTACAGTTTTAAATGGGTCATTACTCAGCACAAACATCTTACCATAAACACACACTACAGTTCGAAGTACAGGTTGCTGAATGTATTTGAACTAGTCTCTGTCTGATGGGTGACCAATCTGTCACCATATATCAAGTAAAAACGTTTTTACATAATCATACTAAAATAATAAGCAGTAAAAAAAAAGCTCATGGAGGAACGTTGACCCCGGTAAAACACCAAAGGAAAGCGTTTGAGAAGACAACGCAAGTCATCTCGCTTTATGTTAACCTTTTAATTGGCAATAGTTGGATAATATTAACACAATTATTTATAAAGTATATTTCAAGTTTTTTTTTGTATTGTATGTCAGTCACAAAGATATATATCTTCCTTGTAATATATGAGAGCTATATATAAATGCGGCACATAATGTATCAACTAACAGTTTCAATAAGACATAATGTAATTCCACTTAATGGTGGTTGATTAGAACTTTATATTGCTTTGCTGTTGTTCCCCATGGCAACGCAACACTCAAAATGATGTTAAGTGTATGGTAGCTACAGACTTGCCACATTAGTGAAATACTAACCATAATCAGATAACATTGCATGGCAACAGAGGAAAAGGTTGACTGGCACTCACTGGGCATGGCGACAGCTGTTTCTGGATGTTACACTCAGGCAAAAAGGCTCAAAATGTTTGAAAGGGCCTGACTATGTAATGAAAAATAAAATGGCCTGTCAGTCCTAAACTTGGGTGATAGGACAACAATCTTTAGTTTTTTTCCTTAATTATAGCTAATAAAAGCCACAAAAAGACAACAACCAACATGTTGTAAGTTACAATGGCAACAGTCCATCTGAGGGTAGTGAAAAAAGAATCATTAGATGTTCTATGAAACAAAGAAGTTGAGTTCCACAGAGTAGACACAAACAACAGTGAACTGGTTGTGCCATGCAGCCGCTGATTTATATCTGACTTCAAACTACACAGTTGCTAGAAGAAGGACCATGACACAGAAAGACTAGAGAATAATGCTATAGCAAACAGATTAACTGTAATGTTGGTCCAATATTGTGCTTACATTTTGCTCAAGTCTGAGGGGCCACAGAGTCCATGAACAAACTACTTATTGTAATCCATACCTACTCCAGGGGGCAATATGGTTACTTGCTGAAGCTGTATCCAAGACAAAGTCTGTAAACAAGTAAGATCAAAATGTAATGACTACATTTGTTATTTTAGTATTAGAAAATGTTAAGGAATGTTGCATCTGCATCAGGATCCGCAGCAAAATACACACAGTGGCAGACAATCAGAATTTGCCATTGTGTGTGTATCAGTTCATGAGAGAATAGCAAACATGATCATACATGAAGAGACACTAAGTACTCAGGATGCTTTAGAACTGTCTGTTCCACGAGCCATGGCATCACTTTTGGAGAGTGGATGATGTATCCTGCTAACAGACAAGCAGACAAAATAGGACCACAATAAATGTCCCTGGAAAGGTCAAGATCTCATCCAGGTGTGTAGGACTTATTTCCTCTGATATGAAATAAGTTAAATAAAAGGCTGGTTCTTTGTGAACACTGCATGACGAAGCAGACCTTATAAATATGGGGTCCATCCGAGTGGATTCGTGTTCAGGAAAATTATGCCTTTGCCATAGAAATCCTCTACTGTCTCAGGCACAGGAAACATTTAGTCATTTAAAGGCAGAATATCAAACCTCCATTTAGAACAAGGTATGCTACGATGTACTCAAATGACCAGTCAAATATATTGGCTTATAATTGTAAATGCCAATCTTTGTTTCTCTGGTTGTCTCACCCTTCTACGAACATGAACTCAGAGCCTTTGGGAATGGACTGGGCTGAACAATCCACTCTGTTCCCTGGGCTGACAGAAGGTCACCCTGGTAACATCCTCAAGGCTCCTCTCTGCTGCCTCATGTGAGAGCTGTGACTCACACACACCAACACAGGGACACAAAGGGGTAATAAAGGGCAGAGGGGGGAGCACTGGCACTGATGCATGGTGCTGACATATCCAAAGAGAGAAATAGTCTGAGGTCAGAATATCCCATGTACATCACTGCTATGAGCACTGCCAAAACCACTGACAGCTCATCTCTCTGACCCATTTCATTACCAGTACCAATACCAGGCCCTGTCCCTGACACAGTTGAGGTCTCCTATGGAGCCGCTTGTTGCAGCCCACCTCCAACCGTGGCTGTCTTCGGCCTCTAACAGGAACCCAACACCGCCGACCAAAGCAGATCGTTTTCAGTCAGCAATGACCGAACGGGCTTACAAAACGGCAGCTTTATCTGTCAGGGCGCTCAATGTCTCATCGATGCCGACTGCTTACCAAGCAGAGCTGTGCGAAGACATGACAAATAAACCTGAGCCTGCTGTGTGGGATGAAATTACCGCGATCACCATTCATTGATTCAGGATGGAAAATCTGTGAAGAGAGATGCTATGGCTGGAGCAAGGGGAAAAAAGGAAACCCTGCAGGAGGGTTGAGAGAAGAGCTGGTGGAAGCAGAGGGAAACCCAGTGTTGTGAATGGTGGCAGGAAAAGAAAATCTCTGTTCTAATAGGTCCAAGCAGAACATGAGAGAGTGTGTGTTTAATGTCACAGTTTTAGGTGTAAAAGTTCAGTGGAGGTTGTGGAGGGTCATGTTTGGCATTCAACACAATTGTGTTTAACAACTCTGTAACAGGCCAATAAACAGAGCACTGGAATCAGTTAGCTTGTGTGACAATGCTGTGAGCTGATTGGACATGCCAGGTTAGTGTTTTTGTGTGTAAAAGAGAGAAAGCGTGCCCAAAGTGACAGTACAGGAAACAGACAGGTATGCCACCTAAAACTCTATGCTAAGGAGGAAAAGAGCAACATTTGCACTGTGTTACCCACAAGCTTAGCAAAGTAAATTTCATATTTATCTAAGATGTTCAACCATTTTTTCCCCTCTTAGGCAGCTTTTCCATGTGCAAGAAACAGACAATATTTAAATGACTTTACACTGTGTGAACAATTATTAGGCAAGTTGTATTTTTGAGGAATTATTTTAATTATTGAAAAACTACAGAATATATCTGTGTGCACAATTACTGGGCAACTGTTGTTGAGAATTAATATTTAACTAAAGGAAAAACAAAA